ATTATTTGGCATAACTTGTATTGTTTGTATATGCATATCTGAAAACTCTAAAATACATTATTTCACAAAAAAATTAAAAAATAAATAAAATACCGAAAGTGCAGCTCCTCACTCCCCTGTCCTTGCTCTCCCAACGGCCCTTTGAAAAGAGAACAATTAATCAACCACTGTGCCACTTTTTCACAGTTAAAACAGATAAGTCTTGTCTTTTTAAAGATTGTATTTCCATTTAAAAATCAAGAATATCTTAAGACTTACCTATCTTGCTCTCCACTACGTCAGGGGTTCCCAAACTTTTCCATTCCACGACCCACCTAGACAAGTAGAATCTATTTCACGTCCCACCAAAATATTTGATAAAAAACAACTTACATTACTTTAAGCCTAATCATAATTGAAAGTTTAATATGACAGAAATTAAGTATTTAAGAAAAATAACCATTTTATTTTAGAGTACAACTGTAAAATTTTAATGTTCAGCTAAATGGTCATGTTAGAACATACCACTTGTTTCTGGAAGGTAGGGTCTGCCAATTGCTGCTCCATTTCATCAACATCCGAGATCGTCCAATTACTTTCTGTAAGAAAAAATTGCTGATTAATTAAAAAAAAAATTAATTCTAATTTAAAGCAAAAACATGTATATAGTCATAACAATTTGTATGATTTATAATAACACCCAAATGCAAATGGATGCAGATTTATATAAGGCAGAAACTCCTGTTTGCATGATAAATATTAAGTATTGTTGTAATATTATTGTATTTTAAGTATTGTTAAAAGTACAACAGCCTTATTGTTTACTCTTCAAATCGACATCTGTCCCACGCTACCTTATTTACACTAGATTAGCTTACACTAGCTTTTCTGCTATATAAGCCATTTGACCTCATGGTTGTAATCTTCCAGTATCGTGAGCACACAGCCCGGTGCCAAACTTTGCAGTTTAAGTATGAGCTTTTTTAGTGTCTTTAACTTTTAGAGGGCATAGGGAACACAAAGACATACAGCATTATCGTTTAGACATTGGCGCCAGAAATAAGAGGAAAATATGGCGCGAGCTGTGTATGATGTCTAAATTTTAACAAAAATTAAAAGTGACAAAAAGCCAAACTATGTTTCGGTTAACATTATGGTTTGTAAACAATGTATTTACATGCTCAACATTTTAAGTTTTAAAATTGTAATTCTTACCTTGGATACACTGATGGCAAACGTCTCCTCTCCTCCCGAGAATTACAGCAAAACGGTCAGTGAATAATTGCGCCGGGTGGGGGATGGGAAATGCTGAATGAAATCACGCGGGATCTGTCCCATGCAGATCGAGGAGGGGCTGCGTCTCGCGGTAGTTTGATGTCATATGCCGATCGTGCTGTGAAGTGCCGAAGCATCTCGAACAAGAGAGAGGGAGAGGTGGTGGGAGGATGGGATCTCACGAGAAAGTTGTCAGCATAATTAAAGTGGCTGCATTTTTTTTTTGCTAAATGTCAGTGGAAAATTGTGTACAAATGCAGGAGTGTCGGAATTTTTAGATGTTGATTAAGTAATCCAAGTGTCAAAACAACAACAAAAATAATTTTAAAGACACATATGTGCACTATATATATCCATGTAATCACCCTATATGGGATTAATTATGTTTGCACTTGTATATTTGATAAAACAAATAGGGTCCCATGTGTAGCCCATTTTGAGCCCATGCACAAATTTCCCATTAATTACCCAACTAGGAACCACATGGGGAGCCCACCTGGGTTCACCCATGTGGGTCCTAGCTGGGTCACCCAAGTGGGCCCCAGATAAGATGCCCATTTTATGCCCATGCCCACTCTGTACCCCTGTAGCCCATGTGAAACCCATTTGGGCCCCACATTAACGTGTTTGCTGGGTACCTTGTGCATTAAATCTGCCGCAGACCAGCAAAACACTGAGAACACGCTATAATCCTGACGAGTCATAGCAATAGAGCGGAGACGAGAAAGCTGCAGAGAATCCGCTCTCCCGGAAGCAACCGCAACTGGTAGATTTAAAGAAAATTACTGCCATTTGGCAAATAAATCATTTTACGTACTTATTCCTAACTCTTTAAGCTTTAAAGTGTTAGTTCACCCAAAAATTTAAATTAGCTTGTGTTTTACTCACCCCCGAGGCATCCTAGGTATATATTACTTTTTTCTTTCAGACGAATCCAGTCGGAGTTATATAAAAAATTGTCCTGGCTATTCCAAGCTCTATCATTGCAGTCAGTGGGTGTTGCAGTTGAACAGTACACAAGTCGTCAAATAAAGTTTGCGCATTCATAATAAAGCGTGCCGCAGACGGCTCCGGGGGATGAATAAAGGCCCCCTGTAGCAAATGCATGTGTTTTTGTAAGAAAAATATCCATATTTCAAATGCAATAAACACTTTTCTCTCACTTCCGCTGACTGTCATACACTGAAGCAGTTATTTGGTGATAGTGGTATTGGGAAGTTGCTGGTGTGACTCAGCTGAGATCGACAAATAAGCTTTCATAAGGTAAGTAGACTCGTGAATTATAAATCATGGCAGAAACTCATTAACTCATTTCACTAGATGTCCAGTTAAATGTATCCTTTAATAATAGAATATGCACCCCATGGTTAAATAAAATACCAATATAAAATTATAAAAAGTATATTGTCTTTCTAAATCACTCCCAAACATAAGATTGTTGTTTAGACATACATACCACATAATATTAGAATAGGTACCCCTTAGTTTCAAAATACTTACAGTATAAATGATTTGTAATTTTACAGGTTGTTACCCCTTTATTCCCCAAACGTCGCATATCATTCCCCTATACCTACACGGAGGTACTGAATAGGTAAACTATAATTCTCCCTCCTTCACCAACTCTAACAGCTGACGACTTTGCCACATTCTTCATTAATAAAATTAATCTTTAATGAGCTGAAAAGAACGCATGTCACACCTCGGTTCATCAATTTGCACTGGCTACCAGTAGCTGCTCGCATTAAATTCAAGGCATTAATGTTTGCCTACAAAACCACTACTGGCTCTGCACCCATTTACCTAAATTCATTACTTCAGAGTTATGTGCCCTCTAGAACCTTGCGTTCTACAAGTGAACGGCGTATTATTGTGCCATCTCAAAGAGGCACAAAATCCCTTTCACATACTTTTTCCTTAACTGTTCCCTCCTGGTGGAATGACCTGCCCAAATCAATCCTTAACCAGGATTCCTTAACCATCTTCAAGAAACAACTAAAAACACATCTGTTCCACCTTTATTTGACCCTCTAACTCTAACACTTTCTATTCTATTTTAATTCTACTTTATCTATATATATTATATTTATATTTTATTTTATTTTTTTTATTTTTTTTATTAAAAATAAAAAATAAACACTAGCTTTCTATTTTTTCTATTCTATCTACTTGTTTTTCTTTGTGTGTGTGTGTGT